CTCGCTGTCTCTGTCTCTGTCAAATGAATAAATAAAAATCTTAAAAAAAACCCAAAAAAATAAAAATAAAAATATATTTTCTAGCTCTATCTGCCAAAAGGGCCTAGAAACTGAACAACCCAGTAGCAATATGCACTTCTGGTGTCCAAATTGTGGCCTCTAAACCTTATTTGCTACTGATAGGAACAATTACTCCTGTAAAACAGGAAATTTATAGAGTTGTGGTTGGAACCTCTTGTCACACTAGAGAACAAGGAAGCTGTTTAAGACTGTTAGAGTCATGCCCCCCAGTAGGTGCTACAACCAGATAGTACCAAACCGCATATATACATGATTTTCCTGTCAATACACACCTATGATAAAGTTTAATTTATAATTTAGGCACAGTAAGAGATTAGCCACAATGACAAAATAGAACAATTATAATAGTCTATTGTAATAAAAGTTATATCAGTGTGGTCTTTTATTGGACTGTGCTCACCCTTCTTCTTGTGATGATGTAAGATAATAAAATACTGTGATGAGATGAAGTGAGGAGAACAACACAGGTGTTGTGATGAGCCATTGGCTACTAGTGACCTTCTGACAGTATTTTAGAAGAAGGATCATCTACTATAAGACAGTGGTTGACCACGGGTAACTGAAGCCTGGGAAAGTGAAGCTTCAGATAAGGGGTGGGGGGATGACTACTGCAGGTTTATTTCGGGACAAAGATAATAATAGCCATCAAGCTGGAGCACCTGGGTGGCTCAATTGGTTAAGCGTCCAACTTTTGATTTTGGCTCAGGTCATGATCTCACTCAGGGTTGTGAGATAGAGCCCCGTGTTGGGCTCCGCACTGGGCGTAGAGCCTGCTTAAGATTCTCTCTCTCCCTCTGCCCCTCCCCCTCTCTCGAAATAAAAAAGCCACCAGGCTTTCAAAATGCAAAGAACTAGATCTTCATTGCCTTTAATATAACAGATGTGCAAGTGATTTTTATATCCAGAGATGAATTCCCCAAAGTGTGTCTAAGGAAAAGATTCCATGAAAAAAGGATTCCATGGTCAATTACATTTGGAAGATAGATACATACCTCAGCCTCCTCTTGGAGATTCATATTGCCCTTCGGCATATTAAAAGCTGTAAGAAGATGCACTTAAGTTTACCTTATATTTCCCAAACTTATTTGAGCACAGCGCTAAGCCGTTAGTTATCTGGTAATAGTATCTAAATCAGGGATGTTTAGTTAAAGATAAGATAGGCCAGCAACTTGAAGACAGAAAAATTTTCAACCCTTTCCATACTTGGAAAGGGATATGATCTTCCATGTCTAGGAAACTCCGAGTTGCTCTAAACTCATTATATTTCATCTTGGATTTTCTGCCTCTATTCTCCTGAGACAAGTTGAGCCTTACGTCTGAAAGCAGGCAACACTTTCATATTGCCTGTGGCCTCTGCTGAAACCACCAGAACGCCACATGCTAACTATACTGTGTGTGTGTGTGAATGTGCACATGCACATATAGCACACATCTTTGTACCTCTTTAGTAGTGCATTCTGGGCCAGGGGCCAGGCCTTGGAAGAATGTCTAGGGGCTTAATAATGTCACGGTTTTCATATCTTTGTCCTTTGGGAGAGATAATAGGCAAGGTTTCTCCCAATTCTCCACACCATTATATTCTGGAAAAAAGACCTTGTGCTTGAAAGGGGACTGATTCTATGCTTTTCATTTCCCTGGCATCAATACAGCCCAGTGAAAGGAGAAAGAAGTTGGTCTCTAAACCTCTGTGGCTTAGTACTCTTGTGACATACTTTTAAGTTTGTACTCCCTAGTGATGCTCTACTTTAGTTGCTAGAAAACTCAGTAGAAACTCAGAGAAGGTTTGTCCCCCGGCTGTTAGAAAGTAGTTAAGTGATGAGGAAGTGAATCTTCTCACATCCTCTGGGGGCCAGAGGGCAGACTGTGGGCCCTAACATGGCTTCCAATGACTCTCTCCTTCCGGGTATTCACATCCTTGGGTATTATCAACCCACTTTGAAGAAGGCTGATCTGTGTAATAATAGGAAATTGGATACTGCAATAGGATGTTGCAGAGATGATGGGAGTATGACTTCCCAGGCTAGATCTTAAAAGATATTGCGATTTCTGCATGTTTTTCCTTGAATCACTAGCTTTGGGAGAAGCCAGCTGTCATGTTGTAAGGACACTAAAGCAACCCAGTAAAGAGGCCCATCCATGTTGTGGGAGCCGAGGCCTTCTGCCAAAACGTAGTACCAGCTCGCCAGTCATGTGAATAAGCCATCTTGGAAATGGATCCTCCAGTCCATATGCCCTCAAATGACGGCAACTTCATAAAAGACCCCGAGCCAGAACCACCCAGCTAAATCACTCCCAAATTCTTGACCCACAGAAACTGAGACAATAAATATTTATTACTCAGCCACTAAGTTTTGCGGTTATTTCTGACCTAGCAAAAGGCAACTAATATGGTAGATGTGTATTCTTTGTGATGTTTGGTCACTGAAATGGCTCTAGATTTGCAAATTATTACTTTAGAATTTGATTAGTTCCTCCAAAACATTATGCTTACCATGACCTCTGTGCTTCTTATTCTGGTGTGTATACCAGAAAACTGGTTTTTCCCTAAGGGTAAATAACTGAGAGAAGTGATTAAAAAAAAAACACAAAACTTAATGATACTCTCCCTATAAACTGTTATAATAACCAGAGAGAAAGGAAACCTCTTAATTGCTACTTTCATTTGAATTTTTGAAAAAACAAAAAACAAAAAAACCTCACTCCAGGACAAATCTTCAGTTTCTTTTTGTTTTAAATAAATGCTTTATTTAAGTAAAACACACATACAGAAAAGGGCACAAAACAAGTGAACATCTTTTTTTTTTTAAGATTTTATTTATTTGACAGAGACACAGCGAGAGAGGGAACACAGGCAGGGGGAGAGGGAGAAGCAGGCTTCCCGCGGAGCAGGGAGCCCGATGTAGGGCTCGATCCCAGGACCCTGGGATCATGCCCTGAGCCAAAGGCAGATGCTCAACGACTAAGCCACCCAGGTGCCCCAAAACAAGTGAACATCTTGATGACATATTGTAAAGTGAACACACCCATGTAGCCACCACCCAGACCATAGAAACTGAACACTCCCATCCCTACAGAAGTCTATCTGTTGCCCTGCCATCCCGACTCTCTTCCCCTTCCCTCACAAAACACTATCATCCTGACTTCTAAAAACATTTATTAATATTGACCTTCAGGTGCACCCAGGTGGCTCAGTCGTTAAGCGTCTGCCTTCTGCTCAGGTCATGATCCCGGCATCCTGGGATTGAGCCCCGCATCAGGCTCCCTGCTCAGCGGGAAGCCTGTTTCTCCCTCTCCCACTACCCCTGCTTGTGTTCCCTCTCTCGCTCTCTGTCAAATAAATAAAATCTTAAAAAAAAAAAAAGTTGACCTTCATATAAATCATACGGTATGGATTTTTTCATGTCTGGTTTCTTTTGCTCAGTTTATTTGCATTTTTCATTTAGGATTATAAAGATCTTGCCTAATTGCCATTAGTGTATGCTTCATCTGTTATTTTTGGATAACCTTTAAAGATAGCCACAAACTGTCAGTAAGTTCACACAAGAGAGTGAAGACACATATATTTATTTAAGAGGACAAAAAGCCTTCTAGTAACTTATTGGAATTTTGCTGAATCTGTGCCTTTTGGTTACTATAAGGCAGAGAGTGGCTGAACTTCTCAGGAATCCAGGCTCTGTCATTTTTTTAAGCTGTGAGCCTCTGGTTAAGTTGCCTCAACATCCCAATGCTGAGAGGATTAAAAGACATGTAAAGACACTCTGTACACTGTAAACAAACAAACAAACAAACTACACACATATTTCAGGTGTTGTTTTGCTATTGGGGTTCAGCTTGGCAGACTTGGATGATTAGGATGATTATTTTTGATTCTTCTGGATGATCTAGCAGAACTCACAGACTTGGATGAAAGCTCCCTCAGGTCAAGGAAGACCAGACTGGTGGGGGGTAGAAAGAAAGATGGGCCACATTGGGTGCTGAGATTTAGAAGACTAGCTACAGATGTTCTTGGTTCTTGTAGGATCCATCTGGGTGGCTTCTTGCAGGAGCTGGAATTTCCAGAATTTGGATACAGGGTTTCCAGAGTTATTCCGGAGCTAGTTTGGAGTGAGCATAGTTAATTTTGTTCAACAAGCAAGAGAGAAGCTCATCTTTCTTGTTCAGGACTAGCAGTCTTTACGGGAAAGGTGAAGAAAATGAGGGCTATCACCCAAGGGGCATTACAGTGTCCTGGGGAGGCACTTATGAGTAATTAGCAAGCAACTTGGGGTTAAACTTGATGGAGTGAGGGAGTGCTTTGAGGGTACAGAAAAAGGCAGGATCATTTCAGGCTGGGGTAACCTTTGGAGAAGGGTGGTTGGAAGGGCCTTCGGTAGGTGTGAGTGGTCAGTACCTCAGGGCTGGAGGTGACTATGTTCTCTGCACCCCCCCACGCCCAAAGGGAAGAAGATGGTTAACGCGCGCACACGCGCACGCACACACCCCTAACAACACAGGCTCCAAGGCAGCCACCAAATCCTTCTATGTCCCCCAGTGCGCCGCACAGAAAAGGAGTCCAGACTGTCCTTCAAAAAGCCAACCCTACTCCCCGGCTCCCACACCCCCTCCTTCAGCACAGGAGGGTGGCGAAGGATTTATAACCCACCTCTTTCTTCCAGTTGCCATGGAGACCAGCCCCAGTCCTTTCATTCCTTCTGGTACCGGGTACATTTCTCCAACGCAGGCGGAATGGAGGGGGCTTAGCCCCAACACGCCCGTGGCAGTGCTGGGGGACTGAGTGGTGGTAAAAAATATAGCGCGGAGGGGCTGGCGGCCTCGACGGCAGCGGCGGAACGAGGCCAAGGGACAAAGGCTAAGGTCAGCCGCAGTTCAAGCCCTTCTCTTTGCTAAAGACTGGCGGCCAGACGCTGGGAGGCACACTGCTGGGCTGGAGGAGGATGCGGGCCGGGAAAGGCCGGACGCAGCAGCGTGGCGGGACGCTGGGCCTGGGGAGCGGACCTGTCCACCTGTGCGGACGGGTGCTCCGGCCCCTCCACCCACACGTCCATTGGGCGGTGCCGCCATCACTCTCCCCTCAGCAACACCGCCTTCTCCGCGGCTAAGCCTGGATCCCCTCCCCCGCCACTCTCCGCCCCGCTCCGTCCTGGGAGCCTTTCATTGGACGGAGGCGCGGTCGATCCGCCTCGAGTGAGGGAGACGATTGGACACGAGGCCTTCGGGCCGCCCCCAGCCTATTTGGATTGGCTTGCTGCGCGTTGGCGCAACGGAAGAGGCGGCCGGCGGAGGGTGCGCTTCTGCTTGGGCTGGACTGCCGCGGAGGAGGCGACAAGCGGTCCGGCGCTGGGGGGCTGGCTCGGGCGGCAGCGGTGGCTGCTGCGGATGGGAACGGGCCGGCTCGGCGTTCCCATGGAACGCCCCGGCAGAGCGTCCGACACCTCCGCCTCGTCGGCGGGGGAGCCGGCGCCCGAAGGGCCTGATGGGCGGCGGCGGGAGCTGCTGCGGTGCCGGGCGAGCAGCGAGTCGGAGCCCCCAGGCGGGGCCTCGGCTTCGGCGGAGTGCGTCAGACGAAGCCGGCCCGGCTCCTGCAGCTGCGCCCCCTCGGTCTCCCGCCAGCGCGTCGAAAGCCTTAGGAAGAAGCGGCAGCGTAAGTGCCCGGCGGGTCGTCCTCGCGGCTCGCCCTGCCCCCATCCGGCCCGGCCGCCGTTTTTCCCGCGCGGGGACAGTGCCCCCGCACGGTGGTCCCAGGTTGGTGCATGGGCTGACAGCCGACTGGAGGCCTCGGGTCCAAGCTCGGGGGATCGGGGTTCGGCCCCCGCGTAGCCCTCGCGCGCAGTGGTCCGCGCTTTCCGGTTGTGGGAGCGGAGGGTCTTTACCCAGAACCCTTTCTCCCTCTTTTCAGCTCCTTGGGTATTCTTTGCCCACGAGTCAGTTGATTTTTTCCTCGAGGAGGCTTCTTTTGACTCTTTTCCACCGCCTCCCCTCCCCCTAAATCCTTGGAATCACCAATGTCTGTCTTCCGTGGGTTTCCAAAGAGCTGTCCAAGACGTTAAATCTGGAGATTTCGGGCTTCCTGGAAAATGGTTGACTGGCCCTTGAGTTGCTGCAGGCCTAAAACTGGATTCTGCCTTTCTTCCCGTGAGAATTCGGGTCATCTCTACCGAGATACCCTCTCTGTTTTCTTTGCATCTGTTTGGTGATACGATTGAGAACTAGCATTCTGGGCATGGAGGCTTTTTCTTTTGAGAGAATCTCGCCTTAGCAGTTGCACATGCTCTTTTCGGAGAATCGGTTTCTCCATTTTATTATCAGGCTTCTTTTTCTGCGTTGTGACCTAGTACAAATATTTACCCCCCTTTAAAGGTCTTCAGTTCAGGTTCTCTGTCTGGCAGCCATTGCTACTGTTGAAAGTATCCACTGTCTTAATACTCTAATACGAGCTTTATCATATAGTGACATTTTACATATGGTTAGATATTTTTTTCCCTTGTCGTTGCCAGATTTCTTTTTCAGGAAGTCAGCTTGTTCTAAATGCAGATAATGAGAGTAAGGGAAAGTGGCAGGATGAGTGTGAGGTCTTTATTGGATAGTCTTGACCTTAGCCCACCCACCTGGTTGCTTTATCTCTCTTTTCTGTGATTTGGATGATTAAATGTTAAATGTAGCCCTCTTTCCACTATGAAAAGTTTGGGAGTCTCAGTTATTTTGTCTTTTTCTATCTTCTTGAAAGAAATTTGAAAAACAGATTAACTGCTCTCAACTTATACCATTTCTAGAGCCAGCTGTCTGGTTTGTGTTTTATTTGAGAAGCATCTAATTTTTAAGCAGTGCACAATATTCGTTCCTTAATGGTTTTGTACTACATCGTTAGAGATGGATGTAAATTCCAGGGATTCAGCAAATAAGAACCCCAGCCATATAGCCAACCATTTTTGGCCATTGGCCATAAGGATTCTAAATATTGTATTTTGGGTGTTTGCAGGGGTCAGGCACTCTTCTTAAAATTTTTAGGCATTCTTCTGAGAGCTTTAATAACTCGTTAGTACTCCTAACTCTGAGGTAGGTGGTAGTGTTCCGTTTTACACGTGAGAAAACTGGGGCACATTTGCCTTGTGTAAAATGGCTTGGGAGTGGTGGAATAGAAATGTAAATTCAGCAAGTCCAGCTTCATACATCCCCCCCCTTTTTTTTTTAAAGATTTTATTTATTTATTTGAGAGAGAGAGAATGAGAGATAGCACGAGAGGGAAGAGGGTCAGAGGGAGAAGCAGACTCCCCGCCGAGCAGGGAGCCCGATGTGGGACTCAATCCCGGGACTCCAGGATCATGACCTGAGCCGAAGGCAGTCGCTCAACCAGCTGAGCCACCCAGGCGCCCCAGCTTCATACATCCTCTTAACCACTGTGCTTTATTGAATTGTGTATATTCGGTTAGTTTGTCTTCATTGCTCTAAGTCCAAGCATAATTTCCGTCTTTTGTGTTTAAGGCTTACTTGAGGTGAAATTTTCTAGCAACTGTGGTAGTACTTAAAAATTTTGAGCATAAAAATGACCTTGGGAGTTAAAAATGCAGATTCCTGGGGTCCAACTCTTTTCTTGAATCAGAATCTGGAGAGGGTTCTAAGAAGTTGCATTTTAAAGCTGCTCATATCATTTAGGTACAGGTGGCTCAGAGACAGCTCTGGAAAACTCTGGTTTAAACTATAATGGGGGGTAGGGGTGGTATGTAAGGTGGTTTTGAGATGTCTTTTAAGGAACGAAGACAAATATTCATGTTGTAGGGCTTATTTTTTGTTTTTATGTTTGATGCTTGTCATGGTCCCCTTTACTGCTTTCTCTGATAAATCATGAAAAGCCATCTCAGGTAATGAGACCTGCCAGAGAAATAAACAAGGTATTGTTCTTTCTTCCATTTATTTTTTCTTTTACTATCCAGGGGTGCAGCGGTTCGATGGAGAGACAGCCTGTTGATTGCTGAACCCTTCAAGAATGGCTTTAACTTTGAGAGAATTCAATGAAGACTAAATCTCTGTATTTATCTTTGGGGAAGTTGGGTATAGGGTGGTGCCACCTTTCTTTTGAGGTTAGCAAGCCTCATTCTGATGTCCTTATACTACTTGTCTAAAGGGAGGAGTCTAGTCATCATTTGAAACAAGGAGCTACTCAGTTTATTTTAGGAATTCTTATGGCCCATATAGTCCTGTTCTGCTACACATGTTCCCTAGAGCAGTGTGATTCTCAAGCCTGTTCTCATCCCAGACTTACACAGGCATTAGGGATGAGGCTAGGCATCTCTGTGTTTAAGGAAGTTCTTCAGAAGTTTTAGATTAGGTGGAGTGTATCTCACAGGACTGAGAGAAATACCAAGTAAAGATTGATTTAAATTGATGGAAACAAAGATACTAATGATGGTTATATAGTGCTTACTTGTGTTGGACATTGTGCCACATATTTTATAAACATATCACTTAAGTCTCACAACTATCCTGTATGGTAGGATTTTTTTTTAAATCCCCAGTTTCCAGATGGGGAAACAATGTCAGTGAAATTTGTCCTTTGTCCAAGGGTGAATAGCGAGTTAATAACGGAGCTGTCTTTTGATTCTAAATGTCTGACTTCAGACTCAGTGTTCTTGACTTTCCCCATTTTTGAGTGAGGGAAGGTATGTGCAGTGTAACCCAGAGCAGTGGTTCTCACATGGAATCACTCGGAAGCTTAAAAAAAAACCCTTCAGGTCAGCAGAAGGGTCTAAGAAATGCATATATTTAATTTTTAAAATTTCATTGAGGCATAGTTACATACAGCAAAATGTACAGTTTTGACAAATGTATACGGGCATGTGATAAGAGAACATGTATTTTAATCAAGGGTCCCAGAGGTACAGCAGATGTGTAGGAGGTGTGGGAACCTGGGATGACAGTGCCCTATGGGTGGGGATACGAGCTGGAGCTTTGAAGGTGACTCTCAAGCATGATGTAACACACCAGGGAAGTCCTTGGGACATGCTGCTTTTGGACTCATACCAGTCATGGAGTATCCTTAACCGCCATTGATGTAGAAAATAAAGCTTTTGTTTATAGCTTGACAATACTAGCCTGGCAAACGGATTGCTTTTCCTTGGCTTTTGGGGAGTATCAGTATTGGCAGGATGGAATTGGTGCTGGGGCCCTGGGAGACTGTCCTTTATTATGTGCAGTGTTTCATCTTCAGCTGGGGAATTAGGGAAGGCTGCCTATTCGGAGCTCAGGAAAAAAGATTTCTGTTGCTTTGTAGCCTAGTTTTGAGAGAATGGGAAAGGATGCTTTTTAACCTCTTTATCAGCTTTAAATCTAAATGAAATCAAAGTAAATATGGCCCTTCATTTTGGTTGTATAACAAATGTGAAGCATTAAGCAGGGCCTAAAAATAGTCCAGTTATGTAGCTGTGTAAAATGGTACAGTCTGTTATTTTAGGGGCTATATATGTGAATCATGCATTTAGGTAACATGATTGTTCACTGTTGGCATCCCTGCCCTCTTTTTATTTAGGGGGTACCCTAAGCAAGAAGTGATGCATGCTATTAAAAATCTTTTGCTTAAACACGTTAAAAGGAGAGAAAAGGAATACAATAGACTTGTAGGCTGTTAAGAGAGGACCTTTATCAGGCAGAAAAGAGTAGTTATTTTGAATGGTCATTTAAAAGACCAGTGATGTTTGTTGGGCTTAAATTTATAACCTAGTGAGCATTTTTCAAGTTCATATCTTTGGGGTATCTTTAACTTCAGGCACTGTTCTTTCTCAGTTTATTGTGTTGTTTCTCAGTTTATGTCAGCAAGATTGACTAGCATGTGAAAACCCCTTTTCTAAATAATGGCTTAAAGTTTGCTTTCTAAAAGTGGGAGCCATCTTTAGTTTTTAGTAGTTCACTAGATTTCATGTGTATATTTCCTGAATATAGAATTTATTATTGAGTCTGCTGGTTTGATAATATATGATATTTTGTAGGAATTAGGGAAGGATGCCTGTTAGGCAGCCTTTAACTTAGTCCCCAAGTTAAAACTATTTTAAATAAGAATAATTATTATTAAAGTACCTCTTTTAAGGTGAGGCCAAGGATTGCTGCCTAGACCAGCCTAGAGGTTTGGGTTTGTAATTCTTAACCACATGTGGTCTGGTAAAGACATAGTTCGTAATGTTGGAAAATTGAGCACACTTTTATAAACCATTTATTTCCTATTGGAAAGCATTTCAGTTGTTGAGACTCATTATGAGACAGACATGGTGCTGCAGATGGTTTTACATAAATAACCTGTGAGGGAGAGCTTGAGTTCTTTCTAGAAATGTGTCCTAAGTCAAGTATGAATTATCTAGACTGAGTACCTTGAGGCCTCAATATCAGGAAATAGGCTAAGGGTTGTAAACTGACTAAAATATTTGTGAAAATTAATGGAATAGGGGGACTCACAAATTAGAAGTGATAAATAACTGTTCTGTTGGTGAGCTATGAAGACTGATGGTATAGCAAAAGTTCGTTTTTCCATGACTTTTCCAAGCAGTACAGTGTTTTGAACAAGGATTGAAAGCTTATTCCAGTATTCGTTATATTATGGTATCTGGGGCAGTCTTGCAGTCAGTGATAGGAATCTAAACCCCTTTGGACAGGCTGAAT